TCTCTCTCTCTCTCTCTCTCTCTCTCTCTCTCTCTCTCTCTCTCTCTCTCTCTCTCTCTCTCTCTCAACTCCTGTTGCTCTTCACCATTTTTAATCTTTGACGATTACAAGATATCCCCCCCCCCTGCATCAAGTACGCCACGCGATGACTTGACGCCCACCCTCTCCATTACTTTAGGCGCCCCACCCTGCTCGTATCGCTCTCCGGGGGTGTTCAGCTGCTGTCCAACGCCCCCCCCCCCCCCCAAACAAACACACAAGTTTCAGTTTGTCTCCGGTCCGGGTGTAGAGAATATAACGAAGAATCATGTCTGCGGTTCCATTTGAGCTCCTTCATAAATGACAAACTAGACCTTGATGAAGAAACCATTTTAAATTTTTGTTTATTTTGTTTATTTTAATTTTTTTTCCAGTGATGCGGATTCTGCATATTTGTATTTCAGATGATGTAGCTAAAAACTTGATGTAAATTCCTCTTTTTTCCTTTTTTTGGCTTAATGAATATCATTTATTCAGTATGAAATCTTTATACTATATGTTCCACGTGTTAAGAATAAATGTACATTAAATCTTCGTAAGACGTTTGCTGTGCATTTCTTTTTCCTTATTATTATTATTATTATTACCCTCATACAACGTTGAGTCAGCATGTTGCTTCTGGCGCTGTGGATTTTTGACTCAATTCAATTTATTTTGTGTCGCCCAAAATCACAAATTTGCCTCAGAGGGCTTTTACAATGGTTTAAATGTGTAAATCCCCCGTCAGAGAGCACACTTTGAATCCCACACTTGATAAAATCTCTTCTATGACAAATGATGTCACTGGTACAGGTGATGTAATGCAAAAAAAAACCCATTCCCCCGGTACAAAACATGTTGTTTTATTATGACTCCACGTGGCCGGAGATGGTTTCTGGTTGTCTGCACGTGGTCCATTCTCGTGAGAATGATTGATCAGGAACGTCTGCAGGGCAATGTGGCAGAAACATCCACTTGTGCTTCAGGATGAACTGATTAGAATTTGGTGGTCAAATGTGACCGTGACCACCACATTCAAGAATTCATATGCTATTAGGTTGAGAGTTTCTTCTAAACCCAACTCTTAACACCCAACACCACAGCAGCACGTGAAACAAACCAACAGTGTGGCCGTGCATACAGTGAACCGATGTTCATTTTGGGAGGCACAAAACATCCCTTTCACCTCAGGAGATTGCGTAATAACGTTTTGAAATATTTATTTCCATTGTAGTCCTCAATGGCGAGACAAAATAGCATTCCATAAAAACAAAACAGCCAGCAGGAGCTAAATGCGGCACCGGCTACATGTTTCAAAGACCGCTGGCATCTCTTGATGCGGTTTCACTTGGTTGAGCTTTATTTATTCAGGAAGTCTCACTGAGATTGAGATCTCTTTGGTAAATGAGACATGAAAACAAAGCAATCCAAAGTTGAGTCCTCACTTCCTTTTCACAATGTTGACTTTGGTTATTAAGGCACATCTTCTAAAAAAGAAACCTCAGTGCATTGATGAGTGTTAACTCTGATATTACAGTTAGAAATATATCACAGTAACACGACGCGGCATCGAGACTATAAACTAAAAATGAGACAAAGAGCAGAACATCTGAATGTGATCTTTGAATACATTCACAAATCCATCACAATAAGAGCAGCTCAGTACTTAGTCACAGCAGAGCTTTGAGCTAAAACATAACATGATGATGTTTAGCAGGTATAATGTTCACAATATGAGTATAGTGTGTTAGCATGCTTACAGTTACTAATGAGCACAAAGTACAGCATCGAGCCAAAGGACTTCAGTGACGGAGCATCCGGCCCATCTGTAGCGGCACCTATACCTGCCACATCTGTTCCGTACTCAGGATCCATACTAAGTGGAGAGTCTAAGCTACAGGTGCCATTAAAACAACCTCAGTTCCTCTTTCATTGACAGATTCTGGCCCACACACACACACACACACACACACACACACACACAACAATCCCTCCCGTGTAGATTTGTTTCCAATACACTGTAGCACTGACAGCGTTGACTACAGTGGATTCACTGGAACGGTGTCGATACCAGTAAGCTCAAATATTGATTTCTGCTCAAGCCACAGTCGGTGATCAGTGAGATTTGCGTTATTAGGTTGTAAAAGGAGTCGTGCATCACGGGACATTGTATCTATATGTCCATGAGCAGCGTATAGAATATAAGTATACTATAGGTGAACAGCTTTAGATGTTTTTGTGTGTTGTATAAACTGAGCACATGAGCCTATAGACATGTGTTGCTCTGTTATTCAATACTAATTTTGTTAACATACAAATGGTATTTAATGTGTGGCTAATATACAGGTCAGCGTTTCATCCTGTTCTTCAGAAGGCTCCTCTTTCTGCTCTGAACGCACGGCGCCCTCATCTGGTCAGAACAGCACAGCACAGTGTTTCACTTCAGTTAGTATATCTACAGTATTATTGCGTGTTAAAGTTTTGGTTTCAAGATTTTTCAATCTCATTTTGCAGCTGTAAATAGACTTCATTTGAGCCAGTGGGCTACATGTAGTAGATGTGTAAAAGGTTTTTATAGAAAAGATATATATATATATATATATATTAGTACTTTTTTTAATGGAAAAAGGTTGAGAGACAAGATGCTGCATGATGCTTAATTCATAATTTAGCAGTTGATAATGAAACATGTACGTTGTGTGTAAGATCTTGCTGGTTGGGGCGTCACAGTATACGGTCTAGTGGTCAACCAGCAGAAGGTAGTGCTCAACTTTCAGGGGTCAGGAATCATGGGCTCGTGTGTCAGCATTTGTGTGCTGCCCCCTTACTGCCTCTTCCTGTGGTGTGGACCACTGGACACACTCACGTGACAGCTAAGACTATTTTAGGTGAAGCATCCGGTCATTTGTTATTTTACTGTAGAATTATTGCTTCAAGTGTGCCTCTTGCATCAGTTACTGGGTGTTGCTGTATTTATGGTTTCCTATAAGCTGAGTGAATCCCCCCTCTCCCGTACTTTGTACTTCCTCGTAAAAATTGGCGACAACACCCAGTTTATGATGGATGATTAACAATCTTTCACAGAACACTATAGCCACATGTCCATTGGCAAGATATTTCATGACAAATTATCTTGTAGTTGCACTATTTTTTTTTTTAGTTTATTTTCTTATATTCCATCTCTCACAGCAGACCTGTCTTTGCGCTACATGCCTTTCTTTAGGCTTGTTCTACTCGGCAGGGCAGCGGATGAGGAATACAACTGATGGTTATCCTCAGACTCAACATGGGAGAAGCTGCCTTCAGGTTTTTCCTGCCAGAAAGGGTTTATTTTAACCCAAATCATGATATTTTCCCAACCGTAATTAAAAAGATTTGTCGCCTAAACCTAAGGAGATTTCTGGCAGAAACTTCTCCCATTGTCCATGACAAGCTGTGTCCCAGTTAAGGACATAGCCTGGTAGACACAGGTTCAAGGACCAAGGTACAAACTTGAACATGCCCTTTCCTCTTACAAATTATGCGGACGTTACTCTCAAAAACAACCAGGTTGTAAATAACAATTTTTAACTTATCAAGTTCCACGATTAACTGAGTCAATGTGACCTTTCACTTCAACACACAATGGCCAAATTATCGAGCAGATTGACAGTAAATATCAGTAAATACGTACAGAACTAATAAACAGGGGACAGAAAACATAACTGATAAATATGCCCTGTGTTATGTATCACGTAATATTAAAGACGGTTTGCATCAAGTTTACCTTTCATGAATGTTTTTGCATTTGATTGTTTTTGTTGTGCTGATCATATAATAATGGATACCTTTTCCTTATCAGACCAATTCTCTTGATCTGCAGGAACATCTCCAAGGTGCTGCTTCATGCATGCAGGTAAAGACAGTGACCTTACTTTTGACTCTTTTTCAAAGCTGAAGTGCAATCTTATTTTAATACTGCATTTTTCACTTCTGTCACATGTTATGCTAAGATACCACTGTGTAATATTCAGATTAAATAAAGGCAGTGGGCACTGCAAACTATTTCTTTCCATTACCCACCTGAAGTATTAAAAATACAGTTAAACGATAAACACCAATCTTCACACACTACAGTAACCTCCGCTCTCGTATGTGCTCACAGGCCTTGACGTATAAATAAATAAGCCAGTGAATGTAATACTGCTATTAAAGTAAACACATGGAGAGTTACCAATCGATAATTTCATTGAGCTGAGAACACATTTTACCGTCTTTTATCTCTGATTGTAAATATCTGAGTGGGCAGGGCTTGTCCTTGTATTCTCTTCTGTCTCCATCTGTTTTCTTTATTTTGTTTTTCTCTTTATGTCCCATCTGTGTGCTCAGAGTTTGCCCTTTGGTCAGATGGTTGCTAAGAACCCTGTCTACTTCCTGCGTATGATATTAGATGTGACCGAAACTGCCATTCATTTTATAAGGCTCAGCAAAAAAGGCGACATTTCGCCATCAGTCAATAACAAGTTTGAAACTTATACATTTTAATCTTTCCCTTTCTCCAGGACTGATTTTAGTAAGGGGGTTAGAGTTGTCTCATAACTGCAATGGAATGAAAATTAATTGTAGACTGTTCCTGTCGCTGTGTCGGCAGATATTAATAATAAATGATCTATAAATGCATACAATAGGCACAACCTCTCTCTCAAATCATATTCTTGCTGCTGTGTGATGGTTAAGAGGTATTTTATCAACTGCACAGAAAAAAATGTGTTTGTTTAGAGGCAAGAAAAAGACTAACTTGCAAGTTAATTTAAGCCGGCCTCCTTGTGAAAACATCATAAATACAACTTGCTCAGAAAGCCAATCCCTTGGACTTTGTGAGAGGTACACCCAACCCAACAAATCTAGATACACCAGGATCTTACATGTTTATTGCTACCTTTAATTCAATTTTACAGGTGCTGGAAATAGTTTTTACAGTTCGCCATCAAAGAGTGAAAAAACAATCTTTCCATTCTGTGCTGTCGTCATCTTGACGGGAAAGCACAGCAGCATCTGGGGGATGTGAGGCTGGCCAGAGTCCGACAAGTCACTAACCCCAGCCGACTTCTTGACCATCCAGATGTAGTCTACTGGCTAGCCTCAATTACACAACCATAAAACCCTCAGCAACTCAAACGTATAGATATATATACATATATATATACATACGTTTATTCCAGATTGTCTCTGAAATGTTTATGTTGTGAGTTTTGTCTGTTTTTCTTCAGAGTTGTTTCAAAATGTGGACACAGAAATAATAAAAACTTAGTTTTTGGTTTTAAAATCAGTGATATGGATTTATTTGATCTTCAATGTCCCCAAAGAAATTGTAATGTACAGTGTCTGGAAATAATTAATAGAGAAAAAACTATACTTAGTCATCTGATATAAAAAACGCTAAGTGATAAACCTCAGTCATAAAACACTCTTTAAAACAATACAACAACCACCAGGTCAATAAAGATGGATAATTAAAAACGCATCCAAATACTTTTTCTAGACCTTGCCTCGTCCAACACTCATTTGTCTCTCTGGACTTTGATTTACTCAAAGAGGACATGACGTCACTTCGAAGATAATTTAAGTACAACTAAGTTTTTTACTTTGCACAGATGAAGAGTTCTCAGAAATCAAAAGTCTCTCTAGGAATAGAAGCTTAAGATCTCATGTAATAACTTTCGCAGGATGCTTTTTCTGTGCAGTAACATTGTTACTCGCAGCATTTTTTTAAGCTCTCTGGTTCTTCTGTTCCTGTGGTTCAACCTCAAAGCCGTCGTTGCAGTAGGGATTTAGGTCAATGAGAGCAGAGGACTTCTTGATCCTAGGGCAGACCAGTTGGTAGAGCGCCACCAGAGGGATGGAAATCACAGGTAGTATACAGAGGAGGATGATTATGGCAAACACCCAGTCGGGATAATGCTTAATTTCAGTTTTTGGGAATAGTTCCTGGAGAAAAAAAGAAAAGAAAAAAAGCATAAAATATAGAATATTGTAACATTATTTGGAATTTTGTGAAATTTGATCATTCTTTAAAAATGATTCCACTGTCTGTATCTATATCTATATCTGTGCGCTAAATATAAAGCTACACCCAACAAGTGATTAGCTTAGCTTAGCTTAACTTAAAGTCACTTTGCTCCACTAACTTTAGGATAACTCTTTCATTTATACTTATAGATTAAATTAAGGATTGGACTCAGTATTACTAAATTCTTTGCTTACATAGGCCGGGTTCCATGCGGGATAAGAGGGGTGTGTCTGTGCCTGGATGGCCACGTAGGCAACCAACACCACCAGAAGCATTACAGGACTGATCACCATCCAGCATGCCTTCCAGAAAATGTTGGGCCTCTTCCCAGTCATGAAATAGATGTCTTCACTGAAACTGTCAGAGGATACGGGAAGCAGAGTACATGTTTAACGCACTTGGATCTCAATCATCATAAGGCTGCAGAGTAACACCACAGAGTATCAAAGAGAAGAAAAGGGGTTACGTTTTCATTCCACGGCCATAAATAATTCCGGTAATCTCAAAGAAGGCAATAATTAGCAGTGGTACAGAGCCCACGTAGCTGTTGAAGACCTCCACCCAGTAGTTCCCCGAACCCAAGGTGAAGATGAGAGCCGTTAAGAAGGCTATCAAGCAGATGACCGCTAAGGAAGTGAGAAAGAAACGTTTTTCAGGTTGTGGGACTTTAAAGGGGAAAACATGCATCCGTTTGACTTGAGACCAGCTTAAGCTCATTTGCAAGTACCTGTTAGGAGTTCATTCGGCATCCACTTGGGCATTATATTGAGGTCTTTGATGGGCCTGAGGACTCCCTCTATGTTGCCAAACATGGAGGACAAACCCAAGGTAAAGAGCATGACGAAGAACAGTATGGCCCATATCTGCGAGCCTGGCATCTCTACCACTGCTTCAGTGAACACAATAAACGCCAGGCCGGTACCTGAAGCGCTCTGTGGAGGAAGATAAAAGACAGGCAAGAAAGTAATGAGGAAGCATGAACTGACTGTACATGTTTGACCGGTACATGATGTGCTGCATTCCATGGAAAGAGAGGGGAGGCGAGAGCAGAAAGCAACTAGGATTTAAGGGGAGAGGGAAGTTAGACGAATGAAACTTGCAGGCAAAAAGAATGCCCAAGACTAGGTGCGTTTTTAAAGTTACAATACCTGGTCAAGGAATGTTTGCAGGTCACAGTGCATCAGGTCCACACTGGCCAGCTCACCTGGAGATGTGCGATTCAGATACTCCACCCAGTGATCATAGTTGTTTGTTGTTATGTTCTGGTCTGAAAACTCAAAGTGGTCGGTCAGAGCCAAGATGTTTCTGTAAGATGGAGTACCAAAAAAAGTATTCCTCATTAGTATCAGCAAGCAAAAACGATTTATTAGAATTACATACAATATGTGTGCGTACGTACTCCTTTAAGCAGGAGTTGAAGGCGGTGTTAGCTTTAAATCCCAGAATGGAGAAGATGGAAATGGAGGCGTAGATAGATGTGGCGCTATTTATTACTCCTACTACAATAGCATCCCTCTCACAGTTGTTTCTAATTGACACGGAACAGAAAAAACAAAGTCACACACAATTCATCCAAACTTTTGTAGCGAGGGAGTTAAGCAGCTTTAGTCCTTACCTCTCTGGGTTATAGCTGGAGAAAGCTATGAGACCTCCAAAGGCCAACGAGAGAGAGAAGAAGATCTGGGTGAAAGCGTCCAGCCACACCTGAGGGTTCTTCAGTATCTCCCACTGTAGCGGTGCGAAAACACAGAACGTCAGGTCATCGTGTGCAGCATACAATCTGAAGTAGCAGCAAGTGGTCAAACTCACATCAGGGGTGAAGAGGTACACCAGTCCATCAGTTGCTCCAGGCAGAGTGAGTCCACGGATCAGGAAAATAGTCAGCACCAGGTAAGGGAATGTGGCTGTCACATACACAGCCTGAAACATATAACACAGCCCCTTGTTAACTCTTTCTTTCTACGTCTTACTGTAAATGTCAGCAGTGATGTCAAATGTATGTGACTGATTTTGAAATAGGCTCATTCACCAGATAAACAGACCTTTCCGATGGAAGCAATGCCTTTGATGAAGCAGACGTAGACCACACACCAGGCGCTAGCCAGACAGATGACCAGCCACCAATGCAGGGAGCCGCTGGTCTCGATGTCAGGTGTGACATTCAGGGTCTCGCGGTACCAGAAGTAGTTCGATGGAGTGCTCTTCACACACTCCACATTATAGCCTATATGGATGCATACAAAACAAATAAAAAACAATGACAGCGTCTATGAAATTCTAGAAGGGCTATGATTATTGAAAACGAATGAGATTATTTGTGCTGTTTTCCTGTCACTCATTCCACTGTGCGTGACAGGAAAACGCCTTTTTTTATGCTCTTTTTTTATGTTGTGCTGCTAGATCCCTTTGTGCCATAAAACAATAAAAACCCAGAAGCTGTGACCTGAAATGCCACGTAGAGCCTGATATTCCTCTTGCCTCTAACTTTATTATAACTAAAGTAGATGCTCAAACTAAATTTGATACATTATAATCTTACTTATACTATTAAATGCAATATACGTCTGTCACTGTGGTAGTAGCAATGGCCGTGTGTGACAATTAACGCTACAAGAGGAGCTAGAATGACTTGTTACCTGTGAGGTTATCATTGAGTGGACACTGGCTCCATGGCAGGGGGTCTTGGAAAGAGTGAAAGAAGTACCAGAGCACCCAGGCAAGGATGGTGTTGTAGAAAATGCCCACCAGGAATGACACCAACATGGAGGCAATTCCTATACTCACATTTTCCAGACCACAAAAGAAAAAAATCAGCTCGAGAAATAATGAAGATCTGCCAAATATAAATGCTAATAACTGTTCCTAATAATTCTAGGGCACCTACCGACTCCACCCAGCAGCGGTGAGATGGAGGTCCAGACACCGATGCTGCCCATGCGGAGCCTCTGTCCTATAGCCAGCTCCAGATAGAGCAGGGGGAGGCCCTCAAACACCAGTGCTATCAGGTACGGGATGAGGAATGCGCCTGAAGACATGAAGTTATTTACCTCCCAGTTAGACATCAGCCAGTCTTTATCAACCTACTTTGCAGAGAACATTTTAAAATAAGGTTTATTAAGATTAATGGCTGTTTGAACCATGTTAGGGAAACAAATGACAAACACTTTTTAATTACCTTAATCAAGCCGTAATAAGGGAGATTTCAGGCCATGCTAAATAAGTGCACTGCAATACTGAAAAACCTTCATAATTTAAATATATTTAGACAATATGTGGTCGCTGGACTTTTTTTTTTTTTTTTTTTTTAAGCCAAAACAGGAGTGGAGTCAGGTAGATGAAAATGTAAAAAAACAAATCATATTAAAACCTCCATTGCTTTAAATTACACAGATATTAGGCTTAAAGTAGTCAAGAAAAAAGGTGTCATTAAGCTGATGTCAAATAGAGTGTCAGGTGAATGTTTCACTGCCTGTGGGAATCAGGAATCCAAGAATCGATAGTTGATAGACTATATGTACATTTACCGGATTGGCTGTTTACTCAACCTAACCCTGAACCGGGTCCTTTAGGATTCTGTGGGTTTGGGAAACAAGAGCTCTCTCTGGGGACTATGAGGAAGTAAATACAGGAATTGCTCCATTCAAGCAGAAATCATTCCTGACGTTTACCATGATCAATAAAACCCAGATAAGGTTCAGTATTTTGGCATCAACTGGCCTAGTTCATTTGTTAATGACTAATTCAACCGAGACAGAGAAATAATCAAAAATGCTGTTGAAATTCAATTCAGTATCTTGGATAAAATAATCTGAAACGTGTTAGAAATGCAGTTCAAAAATAACATGAGTGATAAACCGTGTAATTAACTTCATACATCTCCAACAGCAAACTTAATTAAACTATGGTGTGATGGGGAAAAATAATGCAGCTTATAAGTTCGCATCATATGATAGCATCTCACCTCCTCCATAGATCTGGCATAGGTAGGGAAAACGCCAGACGTTTCCAAGACCCACTGCAAAGCCAATACATGTTAACATGTACTGAACCTTGTTGTCCCATTTGGGTCTCTCCTCCACTCCAGAGTCTTTTGTTTTGCCCATTCTCAGTTGGCAAAAAGGCTTATCACAATTCCAGTTATGATGCAAAGATGCAACACTCCTAATAATACACCTCAATCAGGTATTATCTATTTTTATTTACTCCGTAATTCACCAACTGTTCTCAGCTCAGTATATGTCAAAGTGATGTCCAGAGCTCCCCTCTCGTCCTCTGTCTTCCTCTCTTTAGTGGGCAGTCCTTGTCCAATCAGTTGCAGCTTAGAGTCAGGGTGACAGATTTATTGCTTTTTATGGGGAAATCAAGCCACCAGGAAGAGACTGAAAACATCAGGCATTATGATTTAATGGTTAGTCCTCCCTGTTTTTTTTTAATGAGTGTGCTAAGCCTCCAATAATGGATAACCTGATGATGCTGTTTCAATGTTACACTACCCTAAAGAGGACAATAATCAAGACACCATGACTGTTGTACCATGACAGAGACATATCTTTTTTTTCAATTAATCAAACCTTTCTTCAAAAGTAACATTTGTCCATTGAAATTAATCAGGAAGTGTTTTACAGCGAGTGGAAAGACACTGAGCTAAAACAAGTGGGTTACATTGTGAACCTATTTTTAAATAAAAAAATAGTGATTGGTGCAACTTTAATTATTCAATTCAATGGGTATCAATAATTCCATAATAATTCGAAACAATCAGCATGTGAAAAGTAGGGTGTGCAAAGTGGTAGCATCATTTTCAGTTAACCAACAAGTACAAATCAAACAGGGACAGAGTGATTGTGCTGCATATAAAGGAGAACCAAAGCTAAATATATCAGTGATTTTGATAAAAAAAAAAGCTGTGATTGTCATACCATATAATTTCCTTATTGTTGAACTGAATTTGATAATTTCAAGCAAGATCATGTCTGCCCCCTACTGGTGTTAACCGTACTCTGCACTTGTTCTTCTTAGACTGTGCTGCTGTAATCTCAGTTTCTGGAAAGTTCCTAAATGTCTTTGGCTCTGTTTCCACTCGTGGGGATGTTGAAGTTAAATGGAGACTCCAGGCTTGGTGTCAGCTTCAAAGCTCACAGTAGGCTTGAGGTGCTTCATGATCTCTGTGGCTTAGAGGCTGTAGGCCTTCAATCCATCCTAATATCCCTTTTCAGGCCCTTTCTAGTTATCCAGGTGATGGACAGAGCCTCGCACAGCGTCATTGTAAGTGGTTGGCAAGTTTCGTTCTTTGGGTCCTCGAGGCGTTTGGGGTTCTTAAGACTTATTTCTTTGCCTCCTTCTGCAGCAAACAAGTGGATACCATCTCGTTCTCAAAAGCATGGCTTTTCTGGTGCTGCAGTTTGTAGAAGTTCTTGCCTTTAAATAATTCCACCAGGACATTTCAGATGGTGGATTCTTTCACCAAAGCTGTGTCTGTGATCTGATTTGATCTCTCAGTAACACAGTCGCCAGTCATACGTTGAAGAGGACAAAGCTGGGATGGTTTTAGGCTTTGAATTCCAGCTTTAAGATTTTTCCCTTTAGGGCCGAAGACAAACCCCTGGTCTCTGCTGTGATGATCAACCAGCCAAACTGTAGTTCAGAGCTGCTCCAACTCCTCATAGAAATCAGCCAGAAGTATTTTGTGTCCACCTACACAACATCTCCGTCGTACGGACAAGGTTCTTCTAAGCCTTGCTGGTAGGAGCTTTCTTCCAGGATCCATGCTGCTCAAACATTTCCTCCATGCCAAACTCAGGGAGAAACTGAGAGAACAGCCGGCTCTCCTCAACACTGGGTGTCTGTGTGGTAGTGGACTAACTTTCAGTTATGTGTTATGAGGTTGGCTATGTTGTCATGATGAGGGACGAATCTCAGGAGGGCAGGGTCTTTACTCACCAGCTGCTTCCTCCCCTGAATAGATGTGCAACATCTTTTGATAAGACTGCTCTGGAGCAGCACAGCAGCTTCCCATCTGTTGCATGGAGGAGGAAAGAGGATTCCATCCAAAGAGACACCTGGGCTGGAGCTAGCCGGTGATTAGCTTAGCATAAACATTGGAAGCAGATGGAAACAGCTGGCCTGTCTCTTTACAAAATCCTCCAAGCAGCACCTCTACATTTAACTTATTAGCATGTTATATTTTGTTTGTTTAAGCCATACATATAGGGTATCTTGCCTGCTCCATTTGTTGTGCTTTGTTAGATCTTGGTCACCTGGCCTCTACCTCTGTGTTCTGTCAGTGTGAGGTCGCCCTCTTTTGGCTAATTTGCTGCTTTACATCTTTTGTCTAAATAAGTCAAGGCCCAGAAACACCAAACTGACAACACAGCGCAAGCGCAGACAAATACAGATTAATGTGCTGTTTCATGTCACCTCATGTCTATGATTAAAAACATCATCTTATTTTTATTTCATTTTATCAACTGTGTTTAATTTTGCGTAACGATGGCATTCTATCCATGCTTTTTACGTTCCTTCGATGTATATTTTCCGTTGTAGTACAGCATTTGTGCTGCACTTCTTGTATGACAGGTGCCATACAAAGAAATGTATTAAAAACATTATTATCATTGTCATTATTTTGTTTAAGTTTATTTAAAAGTACCTTGATTTAATTTCTACCAATGTTCTTCTTTCAGCCTTTTTTGTTTGCATCTCTCCAAATCTTGGGGATGTGCCATATTCTAACAATATCGATAGGCCAAACGCCTCCAATTTATGATCAAGTAGGATTCAGTAGTAGCCAGCCACCATGTTTCTACAGTAGCCCAGAATGGACAAACCAAACACTGGCTCTAGATACAAGCTATATTTATACAAAACATTATATGTAACTTGCTCAAGGTAAAGAACATAGATGGATGGAAAACAGTACATTCTTTGTGTAAGTTACAACCGAGGCGAATACGACCACTATGATTCCCAGATACACTTACCTAGTCTCTATTGTTGCAGCCCTGAGTCTTGAATTGCAGTACAAACAGCACCGAGTCTCACTTGGAAAATGTTACTTTTGGCACCGGGAACTAACCGAATTTACAATGGTACGTGGGTATGGGTTTCATTTTCCTTTGGGCTCTGCGCAGGCACCTCACCTTACCAATTATCGCTAATGCTCGGTAATTGCTCAAACTAGATACTCTGCCACAAGTTCACACATTTTCTCCGTGTCTCTTAATAACAAATGCTTTCTTCTTTTCTTCGGCTCTGTGGATAATTTCTCATAAATGTACCTGTGAAGACAAACCTAAAACAGAGTATTTATGGTTTTCAGATTTTATGCATGAATACAAAGCTAACACTATGTGACAGTATTAACCTTTGGCAAATGTCAGAAAAAACCTTGATCTTGGTTGCTGATGATGTTAATTTCTTCTGATTTCAGATCAGATTCCTTCTGGAACATGTGTGGTTGTAAACTCTATGGTTTAGAAGTGTTTATTGTGGTTATATTCATGGTAAAAATGCAGCAAAATGTTGCTTCAAAGGTCCCCGGGCTGCAATCAGCAGAGCAGATGCAGAAGACTGTAAATACTGACCAATCAGAGCAGACTAAGGGTCTGAAAGAGACAGGTGCTTATACGGACGAATTCATAAAGAGGGTTAATAGATGTGCTGGAGCAAAGACAAATGAAAAATAACGTGTTTTTTTTTTATTTTAAAAGATGTAAACATGTTCTAGTATGAATATGAGAACAATATGTCTGCTTTAGGAATGTGTGCATGGATATAAAGAACAATGTTTGCAGTGGTAATTTAAATAATAGGATATCAGGAAGGAACTCAACTTATTAATTCATATTTTATTTTTTGATACTCTGAAATGTATGACCTTTTAATTAGGACACTTGGCAAACTCTTTCAATATATTTTATTTTTTCTTGCAGTAAACAAAGACCAACCTACATAATGCATACACAGGCACTGCTAGACTGGGGACTCCCGCCAAAAGAAAGACAACCGCATTGATCCATGAAGGGTACGGCACTGATGTCAGAGATGGGAACTCCTCCTGTAAACCCCAAAAAGAGTATAATTTGTTACCACCATATGCTCTACTATCAATAACTTGTACCATAAAAATGTTTGCAACAAGGCATTATTAAACAAAGAGACACCACAAGGATGGATGCTGTTGCTGAGATCAGAACTGACACAACCGAATATAAATGAACACAGATTATACTTGAAGCTTGTGTGCTTACAGATTTGGGATCCCAGACTAAGTAGGTGAGCTCTTCTTGGGTTTGTGTCACCAGGTAGAAAACTAAAATAACCAGAACGATTAGAGGACTAATGAACCTCCATGTAACCTGCCAAAAGATGGAGGGCTTATATCCGACCATGAACTCCAAGTCCTCATTGAACCTGCCACACAAGAAGGTTTTGATTAGGTTTGAAAAGTTTAAAATGTGAAATTAAGTCAAGTCATCCTTGTTACAAAGGGATTAAATAAGTCAGCCATCTACATAAAGATTTGCTCAAAAACAGGCACAGCATGATGCTGCTCATGCTTTATGGTTATTTTGCAGCAAATATCAAGAAGAAAGAACGAAAACACAGATGAGCAATGTGTTGCTATAATAGTCTGAGTAAGCACAAACCTGTCTATGCCGTAGATGTATACAACAGCTATCATCTCAAACAATCCAATGGTCAGAAGTGGAACTGATCCAGCAAAGTTATCGAAGAGAGTTACCCAATACATCCCTGAATGCTGCGTAAACAGGAGACAGATGATGAAGGCGACAGCACATGTTAGTCCTGAAACACACGTGCACAAAAACAAGGCGACTTGTGTTAAAACAGGAATCAGACAATCAATTAATCCAAGGTTGCAAAGCTAATGGGTAGATTGATTTATCTACTAAAAAGAATACCAGTCAGCGCTTCTTGGGGCCATTTTTGAGGTAACAAATTCAGATCTTTCAGTGGGACCACCACTCCCTCTATGTTGCCAAACAGGGTTGAGATTCCCAAGCAGAGAAGCATGACGAAGAAGAGAACAGACCAGACAGGAGAACCAGGCATCTTGATTATTGCCTCTGTGAACACAATGAAGGCCAGACCTGTTCCCTCCACTCCCTGCACAAACACAAGTTAGTAACAAAACAAATAAGATTAAAAAAAAAGTAGAATAACTTGGTAATCGGATTGTTATTCATCAATACAGTCACCTCACTGAGAAGTGTCTGCATGTCACAGGTTTTGATGTCCAATCCAAGAACAGTATCAGGGTAGGAGCTGTTGAGATGGTTGAAGGCTGCCTCGTAGTTGCTTGTAGTGATGTTGTCTTCAGGAAGGTCAAATGCATTTAATAATGTCACGATGTTACTAGGGAGAGCACATGTCAGAGATAAATCACTCTGGATTATTGGAATTCAGATTTTTCAAGTTTATTTGAATACAATACTCACATACATTGAAAATCCCTTAAAAGTGACCCCTTCCTAGTGTTACCTTATTCCATGCAAAAATGCATTAAAAGTAGCTGATGAAGCTTCAGTAGTACTGACTACTCACTCATTGATACAGTTGTCATACTTCTCTGTGGCTCTGAAGCCAATGATAGAGTAGGTGACTGTGGCAGCATAGATTGAGGTGAAGCCAGTTATTGCTGTCAGGATCACAGCATCTTGCACACAGTTGTTGCTTGGGAAACAGGGAAAAAAACCCGAAATAGATTCAGGACAAACATATTTGAGAATGGCTACTAGTGACAGGGCTTCTATAAATGTCTCTTACTGAACAGGGTTGTAGCTTGAGAAGGAGATAAGGCCTCCCCAAGCTAGGCTAAAGGCATAAAAGACCTGGGCACCTGCATCAAGCCAAGTTTTTGGGTTGATCAACTCATCAACCTGGAAGAGTGAGGTGTACATTGTGACGTGGCTTTGTTAGTTATATAATTGCCTTTTTTTACGATATCGATTTGAAACTTACGTCTGGTGTGAAGAGGAACTTTATTCCGCTCAGGGAGCCTTTAAGAGTCAGTCCTCGAATCAAGAAGATGGCCAGCACTATGTAAGGCAGAATGGCTGTGACGTACACCGCCTGAAGTCATGACAAGAAAAGAAAAACATTAAATTATTTGAAAAGGGGTGATTCAAGAAAGGCTATTGTTTTTGTGAAGGTTTGACAGACCTTGCCTGAAGTGCCGATCCCCCGTATGTAGCAGACACACATGACTGTCCAGGCTGCTAGTAGGCAGAGTACTATGGGCCAGTGGATTCCTCCAGAGTCGGCTATAGAGGCTGAACTATTCAGAGTCACTCTGTAAAAATAGTAATCCACAGTGGAGCTCCTTTGACACTCTGGTACAAATCCTGAAGGGGCAAGAAACAGTCATCTGCACAATAGTTTAAGTGCTTCATGAGTATATCTGTGTGTATATTAAAATACCTGTCCCATTGTCATTGAGAGGACACTGAGTCCAAGGCAGTGGGTCTTGAAAGGAATTGAAGAGATACCACAGGATCCAGGCTATTAAGGTGTTGTAGTAAAGTCCAACCAATAAGGAAACCAGCATGGAGGCTATACCTGAGGAAGGCAAAATCATTATCTGAAGTTATTATTTTGCCTCTGCTTTGGAAAATTTGTTTCATCGCCTATTTTACTTACCAACACCAGTCAGATAAGGGTTGATGGCTCTCCACACTCCTACACTGCCTTTCCTGAGACGCTGGCCGATGGCAAACTCCAACAGCAGGAGAGGCATTCCTTCCAGCACCAGCAGGATCAGGTAGGGAATCAAAAATGCACCTGAAAAAGTATGATCAGAAGCACAATTACAAACCATTTGCAAAGGTACAATAAGTCCTTCAAGGAAAATCATTTAAAAGTTAGAAAAATACTCAAAAGGTACAGGCTATTCATTAGTACCTCAACCACACTATAATTTGTCAAACAGTCATTGAAGAATTAACAGTCCATAATCATTAGATTTCACTCTCGTTTTTTTATTTGAGCTTACCCCCTCCATGACTTTGACACAAGTAAGGGAATCGCCACACATTGCCGATCCCAATGCAGAAGCCCACACAGGTTAGGATGTACTGGGTTTTGTTGTCCCACTTTGGCCTGTCCCCGGCCCCCTCCTTCTCCATCCTGTCCAGATCCTCATGAGAAGGGATCCTATCATCCAGTCCTGGGTTAGGAAATACAAGTCTCATGGTTCCCCTACTGAAGCTGAGAAGTTACACTGTCATTCGTGGAAGTCAAAGTGAGCTCTTAGTGTATGCACTCTGCAATTCAAAAATAAGTTTATGATCTTTTACTTCATCATTATGCAATGAACAGATAAGCCAACGCACACTCTGCATTTCTGTTTTTACACTACCAGTTAATCATTCAATGTACTACAATGTAAATACTGCCAATGGTTAGGGGTAGATAACCCTGTCCCCTCACAGCAAGAAGACTCTGGGTTTGAATCCACTGCTCAAGGAAGAATTCCACCCTTCACCCAGTTTGAAACTCTCCCATGGTCATATTGTTTTGTGGCCGTGAGGCTGATAATGAAGCAGATAACCATTTGTTATTAGTTATAGTTATAGGCATTGCTGATGACATTAAGAACGGAGTCCTGCTCACAGTTGTTGCTCCAAGAATATTACAAAGAATATGTGAGAACTGTTTATCAGAGAGTTTCCCAAACTGCTTCTAACTCCAGAGCTGGCAGTTACTCACTAAACAGATTTGCACCTGGAGAAAGCGATGAGACATCCTAGGGGAAGAAAACCTGTGTACCTGCCTGTAATCACATCACTGGATTTATGAAACCAAGGATGGAATACCAACTGGGCAAACTGGGCACCAGGCTCAGGGTCCCAGAACTTCAGATGCACCCAAAACAGTCGGGGTTCGACTGGTTGTGCTAATTTATTTGCTGCTTTGTTTGAGATTCAGCACTAAAACATAATACCTGAAATAATGAGGGCCTTAAGGCGGGTCCTGCTTCATTATCTAATCTTGAGGCCCAACCTTGAACTGGGTCTTTGTGTTGAACGCTAGTTTTAGACCTTCATTATTTAAATTTTGTGCATGCATGTTGTGTATTCCCAGATCAATATGTTTCATCCATCAACAATGATACAGGTCAAGAGCAACTACACACATTTTGCCCTGAGAGGAGGAGTTTAACAATCAGCATTTCTATCAGACTCTGGTGATTAAGACAGTAGATTCTGATGAAGACATGTTGTTGAAACATGCTCCAGACTTTATTCAGATCATGAGCTTGATGTTTTCTTTCAGACTAAAAATGGAAATCTTCATGACAGTTAACTACACAGTTTAGTCCTCAATATTTAGAAACTCCTTAAAATGTGGTTTTCCAAGAGTGTTTTTTTAATTATGTCATTTTTTGTCCCAATGCCCAGTAACATTATAGCTGTAATCAGTAATTTTAAACAATGGTTACAGATTAGTATATTTATATATACAGTATATTTATACTATATATATATATATATATATATATATATATATATATATATATATGATATTTCCATATTTCTAAGATGAGTACATTTATTTTATTGAAATGGCAGCAATACATTTGCACAAAATATGATCAGAAATCTGAGTACTTTGCTGAAGTGCATCAATAAAACATCTGTATTGTACTTCAAGACTCTTGCATTTTGTTGTATTCTGAAATGTAGGATTTTTAAAAAGTTTAGGACTTTTCTGACACTATGGTTTTCTTGCAGCAAACGAAAAACAGCCTACATAATGCATACACAGGCACTGCAAGACTGGGGACACCCGCCAGGAGAAAAATGATCACGTTGATCCATGAGGGGTACGGTACTGATGCCAGAGATGGGAATTCCTCCTGTTGATCAGAAAACAGTATGATTAGTGCATTTGGTATGCAATGGCTGTCCAAACATTGCTCAAGTATGGTTATAGACTGACTAATTGTTTATTATATGCTGTACCACAGAGGAAAAACATTTCCCTAAAAATGTTTAACGTGCAATATAATTTGTGTATTTTGCAGTAAGAAAATATGAGAGAATAAGGCAACACAGAATGGATACTTAGGATGATATATTAATTATTAATAGAGTTTGTGTGCTTACAGAATTTGGATCCCAGACTAAGTAGGTGAGCTCTTCTTGGACTTGTGTCACCAGGTAGAAAACTAAAATAACCAGAACGATTAGAGGACTAATGAACCTCCATGTAACCTGCCAAAAGATGGAGGGCTTATATCCGACCATGAACTCCACATCCTCGTTGAACCTGCAACACACACAGGAGGGTTTTGATTAGCTTTAAAACGTTTTGAAATGTGTCATGACGTTATCCACGTTACACTGGACTTAACCCTTACATACTGTTTATATTTAATGCCTTCACAGTATGGTTGGGGTCAATTTTGACCCAGACCAAGAATTCCCTCATAGTAAGTGTCTACACCCAATTTTAAACTACAGATCTATTTAGAATGTCTAAATAGCCTATGTCTCATTAATAAATGTATGATTAATCCTTAATAAATGTTTCAGAGAGCAGGGAGAGTGTATTTTTTAAAGTTTTACAACATTCGTTTTTGGAGAAAAACATCTACTATTACACATTATCATGTCCTGTTGTACATAAGACATAAAAACATCAAAGCCATAATGATTTAAATATATTGTATCGAATTTGAAAATGGCATGAACATTCTGGAACTGTTGGAATTTATAATATAACCATATTTAATCATTGCAACCATCAAACGCTGTCCTCACTGCTATATCATAAGAAATCATAATTATCAATATTAATTCAACATTTACCACTTAGAACATAAAACATTACATAATAAAATGCTTATTATAAACTAGTCAATAATCAGTCAGTAATCAGAGCTTTCTTCCACGTTGTCTTCCTGCTCTGACACATCCTCCAATTCACTATCAACCTCCTCATCTTGGAAGAACAGACCGAGGGCCTGTTGCGCACTAAATATTGCTGCCATGATGTCAGTCACTGAAACGGCAGCTCAGGTACCTTTATAATGTTATGACCCCTCTCACCCCCCCCTTCCCAACCCAAATTGACTCAAATGTGTTACTTTGTAGATTATGTTATTACTTTGCAGGTGCTTGTGCTTGCAGGTGCAGATCTTGTGTCTGTGACAAGGCACCCTCTGACCTCTGGATGACTCCCTTTGTGCACCATGATCACTCCTGTGCTGTTTTACTATTTCACTGTTTCGAGGCTCCCCCATGCCACTTCAAAGACCAGCAGGTGTCTGTCTCTGCCAGAACCTGGGCAAATGTTGTTGGAACACAGACAGTTCTCGTGACAGTGTCGAGGTCCCCCTTGAACTCTGTCACTACTGTCCCATAAAAAATACACACAGACATGGCCTGTACAGTTCCAAGATTCCCTAAAACCACCATTTTCCTTGATTTGACCCACACTGGTAGATCTAAAATCCATCTGAAATTTGACCCGAAACAGCCTCAGTGTACAAAAACTTGTAGCACCTGTACAAAAGTATAACATTTTAAAATATTTTAATTTTTGTGTATTTTGGGTCACTTTAGGAAAAGTCATCAAATTTCAGGCTAAAAGAATGACGTTTAGGGTATTTTTACTATTGTCAAATGTCAAAACGGGTCAAATTTGACCCTTACAGTATGTAATTGTTAAATAGGTCGGTGATACAGGCCTAGTATTATGTTGCTAATACTGTATTATATGGCTATTTGCAGCAAACATCAAGATGAATGATAACAAAAACACAGACGGACAATGTGTTGCAAAAATAGTCTGAGTAAGCACTAACCTGTCTATACCATAGATGTATACAACAGCTATCATCTCAAACAATCCAATGGTCAGAAGTGGAACTGATCCAGCAAAGTTGTCGAAGAGAGTTACCCAATACATCCCTGAATGCTGCGTAAACAGCAGACAGATGATGAAGGCGACAGCACAGGTTATTCCTGAAAAACATGTGCACAAAAACAAGGCAACTTGTGTTAAAACACAAGCCAGAGACAAACACCAAGGATGTTTAAGTGGGGGACGAAAAATTGTCCAACTGAATGAGTTGATCTTTAAAAACAAATTACCAGTGAGTAATTCATAGGGCCACTTTTTAGGGAATACATTCAGATCTCTCAGTGGGACCACCACTCCCTCAATGTTGCCAAACAGGGTTGAGAGTCCCAAGCAGAGAAGCATGACAAAGAAGAGAACAGACCAGACAGGAGAACCAGGCATCTTGATTATTGCCTCTGTGAACACAATGAAGGCCAGACCTGCTCCTTCCACTCCCTACACAAACACAAGTTAGTAACAAAACAAATAAGATTTTAAAAAAGTAGAATAACTTGGTAATTGGACAGATATTCATCAATACAGTCACCTCACTGAGAAGTGTCTGCATGTCACAGGTTTTGATGTTCAATCCAAGAACAGTATCAGGATAGGACCTGTTGAGGTGATTGAGGGCTGCCTCGTAGTTGCTGGTAGTGATGTTGTCTTCAGGAAGGTCAAATGTATTTAGTAATGTCATGATGTTACTAGGCAGAAAATATGTCACAGATTAGTAACTTAAAATTACTTTTTTGGAAATTACATGAAGGAATGAATTCAGATGTTTCAAGTCTATGTTAATACAATTCTCACTCAGTTAGCTAACGGGTTTCTGTAAACATTCCTTCTGTCTATACTCGATATAAAGTGTCCCATTCCTAGTGTGACCGCAATGTAAAAGGTGGGGGAAAACATCCGCAGACCTTTTTCTATGCAAAAATGCATGCCAAAGTTGAGCTCAAGCCCTTCCATTTATCTCTCACTGGCTAGCGGTTACCACTAAGCCCCCAGGAAGAGCGCCAGATTTAAAGCAAATTTCACATGGTGGGCAAATAGTGGGTCCAAAAAACGTTTTCCCACAGACTTATATTGGGAAAGAGATGTGCGTAACTCAGCGGATACATTTTTGGGGGAATGACCTTCCCATTGCCAGCACATAAATAGCGCTGATTAAAATCATTAATACCCTCCGATTCCCCCCCAGATAAACACTGTTAGCACTGTCAGCACTGTCAGTGCATTTAGTGGTACATTCATAGCTCTTACTGCATGTGTCCGGAGCAATGCACGCAACATTGTGGCTGTTAACTCTCCTGGGCCGGTGAACTGGGGATTGCCTGTTTGGCGTAGCTGGTGATAATGATGGATTTAACCTGTTTGTATAACAGGTTATCGTTGCAGTTGGGCGGCTTGTTGGGACTTCCACCACAGCACTAATCTCAGCGGTTTACTGTTCATGATCGGTTAACGAGGGTCGGCTATCGGTTAGAAAACTAAATCTATACCAGCTACTTCTTCCTTGGCAAATTCTACAGCCCTCTTCCAAGTTTAATGAAAGTCGGACCAGTAGTATCTCCATAATCCATCTGAGTGACAGGCAGACCAACAAACCGAGCTAAAAACACAACCTCCTCAGCAGAAGTGAACACTTACATACGGGCACGTGAGTGAAGAGTTTGATTTACAGATGGACAATCTGCATTTTTGTCTTAGGCAATTTATTGTTACTGAAAAATAAAAGGTCCACTTAACTTTTTCAAAACCTTATACATAAAGCAAAACTTGCAGGACTACTCTGTTCCAAAAACATTGAAATCTGCATCCTGTGAATACTCACTCATTGATACAGTTGTCATATTTCTCTGTAGCCCTGAAGCCAATGATGGAGTAGGTGACTGTCGCAGCATAGATTGAGGTGAGGCCAGTTATGACTGACAAGATCACAGCATCTTGCATGCAGTTGTTGCTTGGAAAAATAAATAATTAAAAAAAAACAAAGATACACGTTGACTTTGGGTCTGAGATTGGCTATTACCTCTTTTCAATATAAGTGAGCAAAGTGAGACTTGAACTGCACATTAAGAACCATAACAGGACCTTTCAATGTCTCTTACTGAACAGGGTTGTAGCTTGAGAAGGAGATGAGGCCTCCCCACCCCAAACCAAAGGAATAGAAGACCTGGGCACCTGCATCCAGCCATGTTGTTGGTTTAATCAACTCATCCACCTGCAAGAGTGAGGTATACATTGTGATGTGGCTTTGAGCAATGAGTTCTACCTTTTCAATCAAGATCTGAAACATACGTCTGGTGTGAAGAGGAACATTATTCCACTCAGGGAGCCTTTAAGAGTCAGTCCTCGGATCAGGAAGATGGCCAGCACTATGTAAGGCAGAATGGCTGTGATGTACACTGCCTGAGGTCATGACAAGAAAACATGGAATCATAGATAATGGACATCAGTTTATTTTAATAATGAATCATAATTTGACTATTTGCAAAACCCCCTCCTCCAAATATTAATTGTCCAATCATAGCTCAGCAACCATAAGGTGCAAAGGTCCGTCTGTCAAGCTTTGGATTTTTCTGCATGTTAAAGTAGAATGCATGGAGCTGTACAATGGGCGATACTCTGTATCTCAAGAGTTAAGAAGGTGGGTTATTTTTTTTACCGTCTCGAAAACCAAAAATAAAAGACTCGTTTGTGGAATGGATTCAACAGTATGTTTATTTGCTCTAACTAATATCAGCTTCAAACATTCGCATGTCCAGCTAACTAGCTTACTGCCTGCATTAGTAACGGAGGGCAACTTCCAATGGTGCATTTCGTACATTATTTGTGGTAATACAAGTTACATAAAAAAGGAAATCCCTATTTAGAACTAGCACATCCATTATGTAGTATTGACCTACTGTGTAGGAGCTTATCACGGATACTACTATATCCGTGTAAGGAAAGGGCTGGCAAAGTAAGTTTGGCCTTGGTCCAATTTTTCTCAAGCCATTACATGGTGGGCCAAAAAATGTGCAACTGCAATTTGCGAGAATGTTACAGGGTTTCTTGTTGTAACTACTTAGTCAACTGCCCTACCCTGTGATTAAATAGTGTATTACAGTCAGAAACAAAAAAAAAAACACAGTTGTGTGCCAGTGTCTGGGTTTTGCACTACATTACGTAATACAATAGTATTGACAAATAATCTGGCATCTTTATGTTGAGAGCCCTGCTTATTGACCACCGTCTGAAATAAAGGACCTATTGTTTTGAGAATGACTAGCCTAAATCTGTTATCACTATACATTTACTTCGTGGGAACAGAAAGGTGTAGCAACAGTAATTACAGTAGGAAGGGCTTAGCTAACGGTCAATTTACTGAATGTTCAACAAACCTTGCCTGAAGAGCCAATGCCCCTTATGCAGCAGATTGCTACGACTGTCCAAGCTGCTAGCAGGCAGAGTACTATGGGCCAATGGATTCCTCCAGAGTCGCCTATAGAGGCCGAAGTATTCAAAGTTACTCTGTAAAAATAGTAATCCACAGTAGAGCTCCGTTGGCACTCCGGTACATATCCTGTGGGGGAAACATTAAACAATGAGGCAATTTGGGTGCTTTGGTGTGCATGTATGAGCTGAAAATGTGTGTATATTCACCTGTCCCATTGTCATTGAGAGGACACTGGCTCCAAGGCAGTGGGTCTTGAAAGGAATTGAAGAGATACCACAGAATCCAGGCTACTAAGGTGTTGTAGTAAAGTCCAACCAATAAGGAAACCAGCATGGAGGCTATACCTGACGGACAACAACATTAATTGTGATACCACAGTCACAAGAAGACAGATATTCTTATGAGTTGTTGTGGGGCCAGGGGGTCTTCTTATTTTGCCTTTTTTCTAATATGCTTACCAACACCAGTCAGATAAGGGCTGATGGCCCTCCACACTCCTACACTGCCTTTCCTAAGACGCTGGCCGATGGCAAACTCCAACAGCAGGAGAGGCATTCCTTCCAGCACCAGCAGGATCAGGTAGGGAATCATAAAGGCACCTGAAAAATGTTATAAGTGATTGGGAGGTTGGGAACGTTAGAAACGTGTAAAAATGACATTCAGGACATCATAAAAATGTAAAAGTGGCACACTTGTTTTTCTCTCATAGAGACATAAATATATCAATATATCAATATCAATTAAAAATAGAACTGTGACTCATATCACTATCAAGCTCTCTACATTCCAAGGTTTTATGCTGGTGTGAAGATTTTGGACTAATTGATATTATAAAGTATTGCAGATGACAACATGATATAGCTCATGGGGATATTGGCATGGTATAATGTTTAATAGCAGTTTGGTATTAACTACAGTTAAAGGTTACATATTTGTTGTTATATAATTCTGTGATAGGCAAAGTTTAAGACTAGAGTTATTCACATATGCTACAATTTAGTGATTTGTTTATGCACAAAATGACATTTTTAAAACAATGTAACATTTTATTGTTTTGTATCCATCAGCATATTGTCACATGTGACTCATAACATGGACTATGGACAGTGGTTGTAACCATATGAGCTTGAACCCTCTAGTTAATAATTTACAGAAAAAACAGCAGATTCTACTTTTGCAGTATGCATGCCTTTAAAACCTGTCCCATTTCCTGTGGCTCAATTCCAATGACCCACTTAACACACACTTTTGAAAAAAACAACACACACATACACAGAAATATATGCAGTATGAAAGAATTCCTAGCATTCAGTTCCTACCTAAACGAATATACAGCTCTGTCTGTAGCTCTTATGTCATGCTAAAGGTTAGCCATTAAGACATCTTGCTCTTGAGAATCATCAATATAACTCAATGGTGATTTCATAACACTCTCTTGTAGCCATTAATGAGTGATATATTTAACTTACTTACAGCCTTATATAGTCTTACTGAACGGTGATTTTGTTGAAAATGAAATCGTTAAGTTCTCAGGAACCAAAAGATAACTAAAAACCACTCCTTGGTACCTCAACCACACAAATCTGTCAGACACTCATGCAACAACGCTTTGTCTTACCTCCTCCATGACTTTGGCACAAGTAAGGGAATCGCCACACGTTACCGAGCCCAATGCAGAAGCCCACACAGGTTAGGATGTACTGGGCTTTGTTGTCCCACTTGGGCCTGTCATCAGCTTCCTCTTTGTCCATCCTGTCTAGATCTTCATAGTTCGGGATCCGGAGATCCAGTCCTGGGTTAGGAAGTACCAGTCTCATGGTGACTACCTGTGCTGAAGCAGAGAAGTATGGTCTACCGCAGATGAAGCAGTGTGTGTGAGTTTCACATGGAACACTAAGCTATCCAGTAGGAAGTTTATGATCTTTTACTTTATCTGTTGCTGGCCATATATTCGCCACTGAGTGCACACTCAGCCATTCAGCAATTCAATTTAAAATGTGAATGTCAAATGTACAAAATGTCCTGCCAATCTGCTTTAATACTGTATAAGAAGTATTCATAATTAATTTGTCTAACACGTAAGAAGGGATCATACCCTTTGCTTTGTTAATTTGTTACTCAAGTGTTTTATTTTACAAGCATTTTCTTTAACCCCACCTCCCAGCCCCTGGTCCAGCCTAGGAGGTAGGAAAATAACTCTGGATTCGACTATTAGTACATTTTATGACTTTTAGGATCTAATAATTGAAAAATAAAGTGTTGGTAAATTGATTTACCTAAAAAATAAAAAAAGATCTGCTGATTTACAGCTGATTTACAGAAGTTATAATTCCACCATTTGGCCGCAATGTCAAATTTGCTTTTTCAAAGTCCTGGGAGCTTGGTAAAGACAGATCATTAAACCAGAGATTTCATGGTTTTATGAATAGAATTTTGTGCCTTGTTGCAACTTTTGCCAGGCAAAATCCTTCAAAGCGCAGAAACTTCACGATATTTACCACATGATTTATTTTAATTGCATACATTTCTTCAGATAGTAACCACTTCATTTTGTTCTTAGGTCTGAACTGGTGAGATGGTTATTCACAGATTATACAGTTTATGGCAGTTTGAGTGCAGTAATATACTTACACATAAAAATAAACTTTACAATAGCCCTCCACAATATACGCAACACACAAAAGTGCACTCTCATATATGTGAACAATATAAATAGCTACAGCAAACAGTAATTTTTGCTTGGTAATAAGAGACTTCTATTTTTGTACGGATGAGAGAAAGGAGAGATGACATGGTAATTATTGAGCTTTAGAGGTGCTAGTAGGCGTTTTTTTGTTGTTGTTACTTTTATTTTTCGACATTTTTCCTTTGTTTTCATCCTTTATGGTAAGCTAAGCTAATTGGCTGCTAGCTCTAGTTTTATATTTAGTGCACAAGCATAAGACTGCGATGGATCATTTCCCATCATCATTTAATGTGCAACATATACTTACATGTAAACTGCGACACAGCAAGAAACTAATATCACAATTGTATGAAAAACAAGCACCAATTAATCTATTCTTCAGAATGACATCATTTTACAGAAGATATTTTCCAATTTACCTCTACTTCTCTCAGATAAAAGTCAGTAGTGTGCTCTTCTGTTATTGTATAAGGCATACAAAACACCATAATAAAAAAGACAATATCAATTTTGCTGAAAATATTTTGTTTTTAAATAAAGTAAAAAGCTATCTAGAACTTCATTTTGGCAGAGATAGTGTCCAATGTGTCGTCACTGTAGTCCTTCTGATTGTAGCATTTCCTCTGGATGAAATTGTAAAGGGCGACCACTGGGATGGCTAAACAGGGAATTCCAGCCAGAATGAAGATGATGATGTAGATCCAGGACGGAAACAGACGTGGTTCAAGGGTGGGAAAGTTCTCCTAAAGAAATGTTAAAATTTACACCAATGTACGACACACGAGAGGTCTAATTCAACACATCTAAAATGGTCTTTTGACTTAAACTATTGTGATGAGCACACTTACCGCCTCCTGGTCCCACACCAAATAGGTGAGACTCTTGGTGACTTGGGTTACAAAGTAGAAAACCAAGATGACGACCATAATCAGTGGACTGATAAACCTCCACGTCACCTGCCAGAAAATATTGGGCTTGTGGCCGATCATAAACTCGATGTCCTCGTTAAACCTGTTTGGAAGCAATAAGAGGGGGATATAATGTCAGCTGAGTGTGTATGAAAGCATCCATTAAAGACAACCTTGTACTTATACTAGATACAGTAAATAAAGCCGCCTCCGGGGCGTTGTGTGCGTTCATCGTGTTGAAGCTGCACTGGACTTCAAGGAAATAAATCTCCAAACATAAAGACTGGACACAGGGTGAAACATTACAATATTTTGCTTCTTTATGAGTAGCGTTTTTACCTCTTTTATCAGCAGTATTATTGAATCAGAGCAAAGAACACATTTTCCACATTCCTCACCATAGTCTTTCTACATGACACACTGTACTTCTTTATCTCTCCTATGATGTTCCCAGGTCAGAGATTACAGTGACCTGTTATTTCTTAGTTTGTTTCACTGTTATTCAGACACCCTCATTGGCCTGTCCAGCAGCTGTCTCTCTCTTATGCTTGTATAAAAATAAATATACTAACAGTATACAGCCATACTAGCAACTCTGTAAGGCTACACCTACAGTATATGGGATAAACAGGTATGTTTATCACAATAGTTTAGCATCTTAGTGTGATAGTAATTGCTAATTTGCATTTAACACAAAGCTGCTGGCGTGGCTAAAAAGCCATTCATTTGGACTCTCTGTACCAATAACCACTTCTTGAATAGACTCACCTATCCACACCATAGATGTACATAACAGCGAACATTTCACAAAAGCCAATGACCAGAAGAGGGATAGAGCCAGCAAAGTTGTCAAAAAGAGCTAGCCAGTAGTTTCCAGAGCGAAGGGAAAAGATGAGCCCAAGAGCGAGGGAGATTATGCAAGTCAGACCTGAAAAAAACAATGCAAAAAGTGGTTACACTCATATCTAGATCAAACGTAGTCACCCTGACATGAAAAACTAATTTATCAGAAACATTACCACAGAGAACTTCTTTGGGCCAACTTTGGGGCAGCAATTGGAGGTCCTGCAAAGGAACCACCACTCCCTCTATGTTCCCGAACATAGTTGAGAGGCCGAGACAGAAGAGCATGACGAAGAAGAGAACCGCCCACAAAGGAGAAATCGGCATATTGATGATGGCCTCTGTGAACACGATGAAGGCTAGACCTGTTCCCTCCACACCCTGAAGTGTACACCAAATATGTCAACCATTCACCCTCTGTTAAAACATTTCAATGAGATAAAAAAAACAAAAAAATTAATTCTAATGTCTGAATACTTTAATTCTCACCTGACTGAGGAACACCTGAAGGTCACAGGTCTGTAATTGCAATCCTTGAATGATATCTGGATTTGTCTGGTTGTGGTGCGACAGAACCTCAATGTAGTTGTTTTCTGTGATGTTGTTTTCAGGGTAGTTAAAGGCATTCATCAGCTTCCAGATGTTGCTGAAAAAGAAAAGCCCAGTAAGATGTGTTCAGTCTTCATAAGTGAATCCAAATGATTGTTTTAAAGGCTTCTTTTGTGAGATTTGAAACTCACTCAGCTGTGCAGTCGTCAAAGTTTTGCGTGGCCCTGAAGCCGATGATGGTATAGATAACTGTCGCGGAGAACACTGAGGTGAAGCCATTGATTATGGAGATGATAACAGCATCCTGCTCGCAGTTGTTGCTAAAAAACAATTGCGATCATGTCAGGACAAATGTTCAAAGGAAGGCTTAATGCATAACTGTGCGTGTTAGGCAGTAACTCACTGAACAGAGTTGTAACTGGAGAAAGAGATGAGACCTCCAAAGGCCACAGAGAAGGAGTAGAAAACTTGAGCGCCTGCATCCAACCAGGTTGCTGGATTCATTAACTCATTTACCTAAAAGAGAATCAAAAGTACCTTATATAAACAGTACAATTGAGCTATAGGATTCCCATGCTGATTATTTCCTATTGTGATATTTCTGCTCTTCAGAAGTGACAGTAAACACTCCTACTGACCTACTGTTCTGGCCGCTGTTAATAATTAATATATGTATTACTGTAAACCAGGATAATCAATGAGGAGTTGACTGACTGTCATGTGATATCATAAAAAGTAATCAATCAATCAATCAACTGCTAAATTGCACACGCTTAGCGTTGTTTTTAAATCTTTTGAACCAAGTCCAAGTCACGCCCCGAGTCAAATAGCAACACTACGGTAGTATGAAAATTACAACAGGACAAATGCCAAAATTACACCACACGCTTCTTTTTGCATGATATTAATTATACCGACAAATGTTGGGTGGTGTGTAAAACTGTGCCTACATCTGGTGTGAACAGGAACTTGATTCCCTCTACGGATCCTTTCAGAGTCAGTCCTCTGATGAGGAAGATGGTGAGGACCACGTATGGCAGAGTGGAGGTGACGTACACAGCCTGAGAGAAAACAAAAATGACAACATGATCCAAAGATATATCTGTGTACTTGAACAAACGCAAGCAGGCATCACTCTTGCATCAGATTACTCAGATGTAATGTGACATTCAGACCTTTCCAGTGGTCTCAATGCCTCGGATGCAGCAGACATACAGCAAAGTCCAGGCAGCCAGCAGGGATAGCGCTATCCACCACTGTGGACCGCCAGACTCATCAATAGCTGTTGAAGTGTTTAGAGTCTCTCTGTACCAGAAGTAGTCGACAGTGCTGCTCCGAGCACACTCCTCAACCAGACCTGCAAACGATAAGCAGGCAGCAACTTGAGCAAACTTGGAAAGAAATGTTACCACAGACTGTACAGCAGATTTCTTTTTTTGACTGTTGTCTTGATGTATGAAGGCATACCTGTCCTGTTAGCATTGAGAGGACATTGACTCCAAGGCAGAGGATCTTGAAAGGAGTTGAAGAGATACCACATGATCCAGGCCATGATGGTGTTGTAGTACAAACCCACCAAAAATGAGACAAGCAGGGATGCAATACCTGCAACAAAATGAAACAATTAGTCTTGTGGTGTTTTTTCTTCTTAACAAAACAAAGAGTCTATGGCCATTTCTAGCAGCTCTGTGAGGCTGTACTTGCAGCAGTGCTACGAGTTAAATGCTAACTTCGACATGCTAACATGCTCACAATTGCAAATCTAACATACTTATGTTAGGCAGACATACAAGTCTGTGCCAAATTTTATGGAACTCCATCTAATAAAACCACAAAAGTGTTCATGGTGGTGATGGATAGAGGAAAGGGGAGAGGATCACCAATGTCAGTACAATGTATCATCTGGGGACCATGAATGCCTGCACCAAATTAATCCAGTAAATAATTGTTTCGATATATCTGTTGGGACCGTGCGATTGATTGACGTACAGACAGATATGTCGGCCCTGGAGCAACACACCCTAATGTGCATGCTTTGTTTTTTTTACCCACCAATTCCAGTCAAATATGGGCTGATAGAGCTCCATACTCCCACGCTGCCCTTTCTCAGGCGCTGACCGATGGCAAACTCCAGGTGCAGCAGTGGGATTCCCTCCAGGACGAGCAGGATGAGGAATGGGATCATAAACGCGCCTAAAAGTACAACATTTACATTGTCATAATGAGTTAACAATGTGTATATTGATTATAATCAGCACTTTAATGAAGGTCAGTAAATATTCAACGGTCGGCTTCATTCAAAAAGTGTTCCCATAAAGACACCCATTAACTGTAACAAGCGCACTAGGCACTATATAAACCATGAATAACACTCACACATTAACTTTTACATATCATTAAAGCTTGAGAAAGTAAAAGTATATAACATCATTAGTTTCAATGTGTACCAAAGTTTCAGCTGATATTAATGAGCAAATTTATTTTAAGTTTTCAAGGAACATACATTGATCGATTATTTTTAGATCTCAGTCTAAGAAAAACAGCCATTTCTATTATTTGTATGTGTTAGAGAACAAAATCCAGAAGTCTAACGATGTGTACTGCTACAAATACTGCATCTCTCTCTCTCTGTAAATATATAACAGCACCTGTTAGCACCACATAATTAGTATTCTCAAGTTACCCAACAGTTTTGAGAAAAGATTCTTATTTTATAGATCTAAACACTCCGTTTTAATGACTAACTCCCTTCAAATGTGTCATTTAATGTGTTACAATCTACAATAATTATGGATGTTTTGTTGGTTTAATTTTGATTAAAAGCAGACAGATTGAGTTTCGGAAAATCTCTCCTCAGTTGCTGAAAAAGGGTAAATACACACTGCTCATTTTCTAGCAACTCAGCAGAACTCATCGCAGCCTACCTCCTCCATGGCTTTGACACAGGTAAGGGAACCTCCAGACATTGCCGAGTCCCACGCAAAAGCCCACACAGGTGAGCATATACTGGGCTTTGTTGTCCCATTTTGGCCTGTCCCCTGCCTCCTCCTTCTCCATCTTCTCCAGGTCCCCGTAAGAGGGGATTCGGTCATCCAGTCCTGGGTTTGGCAGCTTCAGCTTCATGATGGCTCCCTGTGTGTTCACTAAACTCAGAAAGTGTAAAACGTTGCTGTTGAGTCTCCCTTTCGTAATCAGTTGTTGGCTTTGCTACTTCCTCTGTGGAAACTATTACTGATTCTCCATGAACTGTCTCTCCCCGAGTGATTTACCCCTACTGTATGTCCTGGGAAATGGCACTGAGGTATTTATCGCGACCTATGATACCTGAACCAAAGCTATCAGTAGCTCATTACAGTCCATGTTGGGAAAGGTGCAACCTTCTTGATAATGGTTAATACGTCACATGAGGTTCCTCCACAAACACTTTTCCCTGAAAGATGAGTTTGATATTTATGAGTTTGTGTGGGACATGGAGCATGGTATTGGCTATTTATTCACTTTATCACCCCTCTTAAGATCACAAGGTCTTCTTCATGATTAACAAGCATATCTGTCATACATTGCAAAAAGTCTGTCACTTGTCTGATAGAAAGAAAGAATGAAACACTACTCAGAGGCAACATAGTTCCCATCATTGCTTATCTTAGCAATCAGGCTGTACCTTTTCCAATCTTTGAGAAGTCTGATTGTTGTATTGCATAGGGATCTACTAAACTATCACTTATCAGTCTGTACAGGCACATGTAGTCCATTGGATTTAAAATGCTGACGTCTTTCTGTAGTTATGAAAATGTTACAAAGTAGAGGAAGGGATTCCTCTGTTTGAACTTGTATCGTAACATTTTTCCTGCCGTGAAACTGTTAAGCAATTCGGAGTGCATATAAACCTTATCAGTGTTCCGATGCTTTTTTCTAATGCAAATTATTAACCAAAGAAAGACTACTGTCGGCGTTTACAGAGCCGTGTGTACTGAATGGTAATCTGTAGAAGCCATATCAAGGGTTACTTTGAGGATATTCATAAAAGGAGGGAGCATCCTGGACAGGTCGCCAGTCAATCACAGGGCTAATACATCCACGTTTTGAGCTCATTCAGACACCATAAAAAACCCTGCACAGAAACTTTGATATCAGTTGAACAGATCCAAATTATGGAATTTCATTCTCAAAATGGTTGTAAATGAATTGATTGTCCACCGGTGCTGTTTGTCGTTTCCATTATATCCTTTGTTTCCACCACTGTCACTTGTCTTGTCTTTATTTATATATGATTTAAATATGATTGTCACAGAAGTTGTACTTTGAAAACACATCATTTTGTAGTTAAATTTGAGATTTATTAAACTGTTTCCGTAAAATCAAGTAAAATCTTCTGTAGTCTTCAAAGTAATCTTCAAAGTAAAATCTTTATTAAGAGGAGGCAGCTCAGAACTTGCCCTTGTTGATCATGATTTTTATGATGAAATAAAGTCAATGTTAGCGTAGAATATTTCAATAGGTTTATTCAGCTTTTCTCAAAATATACAATTTAAAACATCTCATGAACATCTACAATGATTCTATATACTTTTATCAACACGTTGGCAACACAAAAAATGTTCTCAGCACACACACAAACACAGTGTGTTAATCTAAAAATGTAATCATTTTAACAAATCAAATTTTAACAAAGTAAAGCACACCCTACCATGGAATAAATAATCTTCATTTCACTGGTCTCTTGTTTTGAAAAAGGTATAAAATACCAAACTTTAAAAGCAACAGTGTAATGTTCTTGTCAATCTAGTGAGTGTCATACATGTTGACGTTGGCAGATACAGTGTTGAGCTCAAGTTTATTTATTGTTTTCTTGCAGCAGCATCTCTGGAATAATTTGTACACAGCATATCCTGGGATCATAAGACTAGGAAATCCAGCCAAATGACGATGATAACGTAGACCCAGCTGGGATAGGGTAACGTCTCCAAAACTGGGAAGTTTTCCTGTGACACAACAAAGATTTTAAAATATTCATGTTCTTCAATAAAATAATATTTTTTTGCGTGATAAATTGAGGAATTTTGCGAACAACAGTTGTAAACCTTACCGAGCTTGGATTCCAGGTGATGTATGTCAGTGTGGCATTGACTTTGGTGACAAAATAAAACACAAAGATGACTAAGACAATCAAAGGGCTGACCACTCTCCATGTGGCCAGCCAGAAGATGTTGGGTTTGTGTCCAATCAGGAACTCAATATCTTCGTTAAACCTGTCAAAGGAGGTAGATCTGATTTGGGACTATTTGGCTATGCTGTAATATTTGAAAACTTGATTTAAGAGGGTTATCAACATGGCACATACATAAACTTTAGGCTTTGTAATCTCCTGTTTAAAACTTACCTATCTATTCCATACACGTAGGCTACACTAACCATCTCACAGAAGGCGATAATGAGTAGAGGGATGGAGCCTGCGTAGCTATCAAAGAGTGCTAACCAGTAATTACCAGACCGCAGAGCAAAGATCAGCGCGACCAAGAAGGATGAGAAGCACACAATCCCTAAAATCCCAAACAAAATAACTCATTATTGACAATGTTCTCAACCGTTATTCCGCTGTAGAAATGTATGTAGTGTCAGCATACATGGTAACCTGGCCCGCCAGATGGGTTGTTACACAGAACCATCTGAGAAGGAGTCATTGGAAACTGTTTGGAGGTTCGTAGCAGGTCATTGGATGAACCATCTGTCAATCAAACTCTTACCAAAGCCAGTCAGGAGAAAGCATCTTCTCCATCTAGAAAAGCCTTCAGTATTCTTTATTCTTCTTTCAATGAGAAAATACTCTCCAGTTCTGATATAACTGATGCTATTGCAGTAGCTACGCTAACCTCATTGAAGTTTTTGACCGAACAGTCGCCTCTCTGTGTCGTCTCGCACACACCTAAGCCACGGTCATCGCTGCCAGTAGCTCCTTACAGGATGCTTATTGGTCCGCTCACAGCCTTGCCGGACGCAGAGACACCGTCACTGAGAGTCAGTTTCCTGTGTCTGTGTTACATGGACTTTGCCACTACCCCGCTACTTTAGGAGACAAGCAGCAGGTCCTGAGTCTATTAACTCCAGTGGACTTGAACACAGGTTATGATCATTTCTCTCGCTCCAAAGTCACCAAAGTAAACATTTGACCCATTCCTCTCAAGCCACATATCCTCCAAACATTCTTGCGATTGGTAACATGCAAGATAACACACATGGGTCTATAAGATCACTTACCTGTGAGCACCTCTTTAGGACACTTCTTAGGAAAGATCTGAAGATCCTGCAGGGGAACCACAACTCCCTCTATACTTCCAAACATGGTGGAAAGCCCGAGACAGAAGAGCATGATGAAAAAGAGGACGGACCAGAGAGGAGAAAAAGGCATCTTTGTGATGGCCTCTGTGAACACAATAAAGGCCAAACCCGTTCCCTCCACTCCCTGGAAAACAAGTGCACAATCATTCACAACAATCAATGGATTTGACTACTGAGAATGAAATACAAACATGATGCCTCCAAAAAAAAAAAATCATACCTCACTGAGAAAAGTCCTGAGGTTGCAGGTGCTAAGGTCCAGCCCCTGAATGATCTCTGGCCCTGAGATTGTGCTGTTGAGCTTTTGCAGCATTTCATCATAGTTGCTCTCTGTGACGGCTCCCTCAACCAAATCAAATGCATTCAGCAGCATCAAGATGTTTCTGAAAGAGGAAATTTGGGAACATGGAAAAATGGTTCTTTACTTTTGCCCTGATTAACCCAAATAAATTGACGTAATGTTCCGTGCACATACTCATTAAGGCAGGCATCAAACTGCTCCGTTGCCCGGAAGCCAATGATCGAGTAGATGACAGTGGCAGCATAGATAGAAGTGCAGCCATTAATAATGGAGATGATGATAGCATCTTGCTCACAATTGTTGCTAGAAGGAAAATACAAATTCATAGTTTTATTTAACATTTTTGCAAAGTTTGTTCATCTCAGCTGATACGATTAGATGCCATGTAAACCTAACATGTACTAACTGAATAGAGTTATAGCTGGAGAATGAGATGAGCCCTCCAAAGGCCAGGGAGAAGGAGTAGAACACTTGGGCTCCTGCATCCAACCACGTTGATGGGTTCACCAACTCATCTAGCTAGAAATCAATAATATCATCAGCAGAGTGAAATATCTTCCACGCTATTGGCAGGGAGAATGTAATTAAATGACTAACATCTGGTGTGAAGAGAAACTTGATTCCCTCTATGGATCCTTTCAGAGTCAGTCCTCGGATGAGGAAGATGGTGAGGACCACGTATGGCAGAGTGGAGGTGACGTACACAGCCTGAGAGAAAGGATAGACATATTTAAAGGTGGAAACTGTACCTTTTTAAAATATCATTGTATTATCTTTGAATAACAAATGATATTACTCAAATTGGGCACTTTTGTCCTACACCTATGGTATTAGGTTAGTTAGTAGCCTACTTTTGCAAATTCAAGGCCACATTTGTTGGAGACCAGGAAGCAGGGCAAAACAGCTCGCCTGGCTCTTTCAAAAGCTCATTATTATATTCAACCTTTATTTTTACATTGGGGTAGATAGACCTCATTTACAATACAGCCAAGTAAAAAAAAGAAACAAACAAACAATCACAGGCACCGAGAAACACAAAAAATAAACTACAAAATGAATAAATAATAATTTTAGGCAAATGAATCAACTGCAAAGAGGAAAAAACATAAGTTAAATTGGATGAATTGGATGAAATGAGAAATGTAAATTGCCCTAAGGATGAAAGTGAGGTAGAATGTTCTGGATGTTAATCGATGTTACAAGTGCCCAATGTAAAAACTGGATTTGAAAAGCCCAATAAAAACAGCTGGCACCTGCAACATAATCCAGTCATATAAGTTCAATAAGGACACACACTTAAAGACAACAATGAAGCAAATTAAGGAAGTAAAAAAACAGTTTGGGTCTTATAAATAAATAAAACCTAGTGTCGGTCATGCCTTTTAGAGAGGCAGGGCCATCCAACTTTAGCATCCAGCCCACAATGATGAGTATAATTATCTCCAGTAATAAATCTTAATGCAGAGTGATAAATGGCATCCAAGGTCTTCAGAGTCGCAGCCGAAGCATTCATGTATAAAGCGCACCATAATCACATACTGATAAGAAAGGAGGAAATGAGAGGGAAGACTTATGGTTAAGATAATTCCCTTCCTTACACAATTTTACAGCATTTGAATATATAATAAACATTCAAAT